AGTTTTCCCGACCGATTCAAATATTTCCAACCTTGAAAATGTGACGTATTATAGCGGCACGTTCTATCACCTTGTATATATGAAGTGCCCCGATAGATTTTTTTTATATTTTAATCGGATATAATAATAATTATTTTGATAAATACAAATAATTTATTGAAGTTTCGTATGCATCTATATCAAGATAAAAAAAAATCCCGTACAGCAATTTTGTCTGGTGAAGCGCACAATGTCAGTGTGAATTGCAAAACATGCTCTCTACCTGAAAATGCAAGTCATCCTATGAATAAGATTAAATATGGTTTGCTGGCTGCAAAAACTGTGTATAATTTGTAAATTCAAACCGAAAATGGCCAAACTATATGTTATGCAACCTTATCACCAATGAATGGGATGGAGTTCATTTTTTGCCTGTTTATGTACATTTATGATTTTGGTTTTTAAATCGTTACTTTTGTCTCTCAAATTGGTTCAACATAATAAAAGGTGAAATGTAAGGTCTTGTGTGTATCCTTACCTATAAGGATCGCTTAGGTTTTATAGCTCAAAACGGTATGCCTAAGCACTTGGTAATTCTTTCTTCTTGAACAAATGAGGATAAACTCAGAAGTATGGAGTGAATTCGGAACACTTTACATTTAATTTGTTAAATAATGAAATAAAATTGAGAATGGAAATGGGAAATATGTCATAGAGACAACAACCCGACCAAAGAGCAAACAACAGCCGAAGGCCACCAATGGGTCTTCAACGCAGCGAGAAAATCCCGCACCCGGCGGTTGTCCTCAGCTGGCCCCTAAATAAAATTGTGTACTAGTTCAATGAAAATGGACGTCACCCTAAACTCCAAAACATATAAATGAACTAATATTTAAAAACATACAAGACTAACAAAGGCCAGAGGCTCCTAACTTGGGACAGGCGCAAAAATGCGGCGGGGTTAAACATGTTTTGTGAGATCTCAACCCTCCCCCTATACCTCTAGCAAATGTAGAATAAAGAAACACATAGCAATACGCACAGTAAAACTCAGTTTAAAAGAAGTCCGAGTCCGATGTCAGAATAGGTAACAAAAGAAACTAATCAAAATGACAATGATACATAAATGAACAAAGGACTACTAGCAGTTACTGACATGCCAGCTCCAGACCACAATTAAACTGATTGAAAGATTATAACTTCATCTTATGAAAATCAAGTACAAATCCCTCCCGTTAGGGGTTTAGTATCATACCATCATAAAAGATATGAGAAGAACATAACCCGTATCATGCCAACAACTGGTTTTAGAATAAATGTGTTTATTTCCGATGCAAAGACCCTTTGAGTGAATCAATGTTAATACCAAAATATGCAATCCTTAATGACTTGACAACAGTATCGTAATTATATCCTTTCCGAATAAGTCTGTTTAAAGGTTTGGTTAGCTTTTGAGGTGAATGCCGACATTTTTGTGCTTTGTAAAGAATATTACCATAAACTATTGGATATGAAATACCTGAACGTATAAGATGTCTGCATGTTGATTTATATTTACGAATGATGTCCTTGTACCGGTGATAAAATTTAGTAAATGTTTTGACCAGTTTGTAATATCGAAAATCCTGGTAATAATTTTTCAGTAATACAGAGATTTCTTTCGTTGAAATCAAATACGTTGTTACATACTCGAGCGAATCGAACAGTTGAGATATATAAACACCATAAGATGGCGACAAGGGAACGTCGCCATCTAAAAATGGATAATTAACAATAGGAAATGAAAAATCATCTTTTTTATCATAAATTTTGGTATTAAGCTTCCCGTTAAAGATAAATATATCAAGATCCAGGAAAGGGCAGTGTTCATTGTTAGTATTAGCTTTATTCAAAGTTAGTTCGGCAGAATACATCTCTTTAGTGTACATACTGAGGTCGTCATTATTGAGAGCCAATATATCATCTAAATATCTAAAAGTGTTATTAAATTTTTGAATCAGATGTTGTTTCGATGGGTCTTTCTGATTTTAGTCATAAATTGTAACTCATAACAATACAGAAACAGATCCGCAATAATTGGTGCACAGTTAGTCCCCATGGGAATTCCGATAACCTGACGGTATACGGAATCTCCATAGCGAACAAAAATGTATATTTAAAAAAATTACACACCGAGTCTAAATTCGGCTTTGACGCCGGGAACACTGCAGGTCCTTACAAAAAAAGATGTGGTATGATTACCAAAGTTCATTATAATATCATAATTAATACCCCCACTAAATAATGCATCTACAGTAGGCACTGGACGTTAAACAACCAACTATTAATTCATCCATCTTATCCTTTAATGTTTGTGATTATTTATTTTATTCTCATATAATCTCCTTGATCAACTACATGCAAAAAACTGCAGATTTACGATATAGTTAGGAGGCCGAAATTATTGCACATAAAAAGAAACACAAAAAGACAAAAAAAAACCCAACACTTTACATATTCCATGCATTCGTAACGCTTTTCTGGATTAACTTTCACCAGGAACTCTCAAAGATAGATATTTTAAAGCCAAAGAGCGTATAAAAAATGATAGGCATGAAGAGCTATATGACCAATAAAGGAACTACACATTCGCCACATTCTTTATGTGCCTGTCAAAAGTCCCGAGCATGTAGTTCAGTGGTTGTTGTTACTTAAAGTCTATTACATTTGTTTTCTTTTGTAAATTATTTTGTTATTAATTATGCCGTTAGTTTTCTCAATTGAATTGTTTCATATTTTTCATGTCGGGGCGGGGCTTTTTATAACCGACTTTACGGTTGCAGTATTTTTCATTATTGAAGGTCGTGCGATTGCCTATATATAACCGCTTACATCTTCTTAATTTAAACTTTCTTGAACAGTTGTGTCATTGGCAATCATACCACATCTCCTTATTTTTTTGTGCATTGTTCGAAAGATAAACATATGCGAATTTCGGTGAAGAGATTTGGAATATCTTCGTTACAACATTAGACTTTGCATTTGTGTAACAATTCTTTATTAATAATTCATTTTTGTCGAGCCTTCGACTTTTGTCGAAAAAGCGAGACATAGCGATCCTACATTCCGTCGTCGGCGTCGGCGGCGGTGGCGTCCACAAATATTCACTCGGTGGTTAAAGATTTTAAAATTTTAATAACTTTCTTAAACTATCATGGATTTCTACCAAGCTTGGACAAAAGCTTGTTTATGATCATTAGATAGTATCCAGAAGTAAATATTGTAAAAAAAAATTATCCTATTTATCCGTATTTTACTCATATATAACTTAGTTTTTCTGCCAGTTAACATTACATTCACTCTGTGGTTAAAGTTATAAAAATCTTAATAACTTTCTTAAACTATCATGAATTTCTACAAATTTTTAATAAAGGAAATTCATTTTAGAAAAAAAAAGACCTAAAAAAAATGCATATTTATCTGGTTTAAAAAAAAACCGTCGGTGATTTTCTTCATTAAAAGTTAGAACATATAATCTTCAAGCCAATTGTCAATTTGAAAAAAGGGGGGTACATGTGCTCGTTTTTAAGTAAATGTTAAAAGTAATTGGAAAACATGCATCATATATAGATTAGACCGTTGGTTTTCCCGTTTGAATGGTTTTACACTAGTCAATTTTGGGGACCTTTATAGCTTGCTGCTCGGTGTGAGCCAAGTCTCCGTGTTGAAGACCGTACTTTGATCTACAATGGTTTACTTTTATAAATTGTGACTTGGATGGAGAGTTGTCTCTGTCATTGGCACTCATACCACATCTTCTTATATCTTTTACATCCCAACTTTGTCTAAATTACAGTGTCTATTTCATAATAACTGAAAAGAACTCGTTTTAAGTTGGCAAAATGTTATTCCACGTTGAGGCTGTAACAAGAAAATCCGAGATTCTCGTCCCCATCTGCTATTTGGTTAATTTCTTTCTTTTTGTATTAGTTTTCATTATTTTTATTGGTCGGTTTATTTTTTTCCGACCTGCGGCCTGAAAATGTTCTCCACGCTGTCAACTGACAAATCTCAAGTAATAGCAAAGTAAAAATGATTGATTTTTATTGAAAAAATGAATACTCCAATGGGATTGATGGCATACGTGAAACGTGAACACATTATATAATACACCACAAAAATGATAAAATAATCATATATAGAAATGAATTAATGTGCGGCCGATTTATTAATTCACGGCATATTGTTCAGTTGCGTATGTAATGATTTTGATACGATGTTACAAGAGATACTGTTGACTTCGGCACTTTTTATAAGGTAGTATTCAAGACTTCGACACTATCTGACTTCCGAGTTTTTACAACACAAGTTTAAATATTTTTTAGTATCATGTGTATATTGTTTCCAAAATGAAACCTTCTTTTCAAAAAATGAAACTCTGATAGGATGGCATAAGAACTTTAGCAATCAATAACACTTTAAACTATTTAAATCGATAAACAATACCGTTTTGCAAGCCGTTGACTGTACAACACTATATATAAAGGGTATTTTCAAGTACCTGCAAGTTAATTTATTTCGACGTCTTACACATAAACGTCACAACTAAGTTAACACTCTTTTTAATGACGTCATATGCTTTAACGGTACAGTTTGAAAATAAAATAACAATGTTTTTATAATGTCAACTATGTAAACTTAATGTTTACAAAGTAAAAGACATCACTAAAGGCATATTAGGTCAGGAATGTGTATTCAGAATATGCGGAAAATATGCATTTTACCACGAAACTAGAGGCTCTCAAGAGCCTGTGTCGCTCACCTGTATTTACTGATGCTTTGGAAATCATGTAAAATAAGGTAAAAATCATAATTAATAGTATTAGATATTAGATATTATAATGATATCTAAGATAATAACAAAAAACTGCAAAATTTTTGTAAAATTACTAGCTCAGGGGCAGTAATCCAACAACGGGTTGTCGGATTCGTCTGAAAATTTCAGGGCAGATAAATCTAAATCTGATGAACATTTTTGCCACCTTGTCAGATTTGCTCTAAATGCTTTAGTTTCAGAGATATAAACCAAAAACTGCATTTTACCCCTATGTTCAATTTTTAACCAAGTCGGCCATGATGGTTGGAAGGCGGGGTCATCGGATAAATTTTTTAAACTAGATACCCTAATAATGATTATGGCCAAGTATGGTTAAATTTGTCTCAGTAGTTTCAGAGAAGAAGATTTTTGTAAAAGATAACAAAAATTTACGAAAAATTGTTAAAAATTGACTATTAAGGGCAATAACTCCTAAAGGGGTCGACTGACAATTTTGGTCATCCCAACTTATTTGTAGATCTTACTTTGCTGAACATTATTGCTGTTTACAGTTTATCTCTATCTATAATAATATTCAAGATAATAACCAAAAACTGTAAAATTTCCTTAAAATTACCAATTCAGGGGCAGCAACCCAACAACAGGTTGTCAGATTTGTCTGAAAATTTCAGGGCAGATAGATCTTGACCTGATTATCAGTTTTACCCTGTGTCAGATTTACTCTAAATGCTTTGGTTTCAGAGATATTAGCCAAAATCTACATTTTACCACTATGTTCTATTTTTAGCCATGGCGGCCATCTTGGTTTGTTGGCGGGGTCATTGGACACATTTTTTAAACTAGATACCCTAATGATGATTGTGGCCAAGTTTGGTTAAATTTGGCCCAGTGGTTTCAGAGGAGAAGATTTTTGTAAAAAGCTAACGACGACGGACGACGACGACGACGACGCCGACGGACGACGGACGACGGACGCCAAGTGATGAGAAAAGCTCACTTGGCCCTTCAGGCCAGGTGAGCTAAAAATAGGGTTTTGATAATTATTTGGGACTGAGAGGGTTAAAATGTCTATAGATCTATATAGAACGATTTATACAATATATAATTTTTTTAAAAATTCATTTTATAGGTAAAGATTATTAAGGTCATCCGCAAAAGTGATGAGAATAAATTTAAATATACTTATTGTTTTTCATGCAACTAAATTTAAATGCTAAAAGTTACATAAGAGGGAGTTTAATGTCTGACGATTAACATTAATTTAGCGATTTTTTTGTCTTCATAAATATCACGAGAGAGAGGGAATGACAACTTTATGTGAACATGCATACTGTTTCTGATTTGTGATGGGCGTGTCTGCTACAGAAACCGCGCGAAGAAGATGGGAGTTAACGGTTTCGCTGATTGGTTGACAGAATGTCACGGAAATAGCGGAAATAGTCGAAGTGAAAAAAAAACAATAACGACTTCCTGTTGTTACCAGGAGACGGAAAATGGCCGGCATAACAATGTTAAACCTCCGTAAGGATCGGAAAGTGGGCGGTACATGATGATCAATGGACCGGTTAGTAAATAAATAAAGCTTAATTGAATGGACAGGCAGTTATCGAATGTAATTCGTTGGTCAAATCATTTAAAACATAGGGGTAAAACAGTTGCATTGTTTTTTAGCCGGACAGGACCCCTTGAGCCAGACTATAGATTGGTTCCTTTGGCTCTGAGAAAACTCCCGGACAAAATTAGGTGGAAGAAAAATAATAATAACTAGATCTGTAATTGTTAGCAATAACTGATGGCACCCTCGTTCCCCAATTGCCAGGGTAACGGCAGCCATTTTTGAAAATTTCACAGTCAAAGAGAGCATCTACACATACCAATGAATATTATTGTAAAGTTTCATTGAGTTTGGAGCATTTTGATATTTTTGACATTTTTGCTGTTTCCATGGAAACGGCAGCCATCTTGAAAATGCGCGATTGCAAATCTGCACATGTTGGTTAACATTATGGTACAGTTCCATAACAATTGGTTCATAGAATTCCAAGATATAAGCTGGACAAAAAAAGTAGAAGAAAAGTAAGAAAAAAAGAAACGTAGAATAACAATATGTCACCCCAACTCTGTTGAGGGTGCATAATAATAATAATACTGAAAAAGATACAGAGGAAAAGCAATATGTCACCCGACATTGTCGATCGGGTGACATAATAACTGAGGAAAAACAATTAGTCTTCTCAAACTTCGTTTGGGAGACTTAATAAAGTGTTTGAGGTTGAAAAAATGGTTTGGAGAATAAAACCTGATAGGTATGTCCTCGTAGCGCAAAGGGTTGCGCGCTGGACTTCTTATCCAGAGGTTGCAGGTTAGAATCCAGGCAAGGATTGTCTTTTCCGTCATCACTGAAATGTTATTTTATAAAATGAACGGATCTACTTTAAAATAAAAGAGTCAACAAAGAATTCTATATACAAACCACAGCCACATTTGTATGCACTTTTATTCAATGTGACTTAGATTGATACTTAGTTCTTAACTCTTCTTTCCATTTTAATTACCTTAGTTGAATTTAGCAATTTTTGTAATGTTCTTTTTAGTCATATACGCGGCAATTGCTCTTCACATGTTAAGGTATAGTATATCCTTGGCTTTGAACTGTGTTGGTCTCAGTGTATCTGATGAAGTTTAATCCAGAAAAGCGCCTCGGGTGCACTAAATTGTTACAGTGTTATTTTATTTCATTACATCTTTACGCCACAATTTAAGCAATGTCAATAAGGACTATTATTGCATTTGTCATGATGGTCTGCAAAAGAGAGGCGAAAGATACCAAAGGGATATTCAAACTCATAGGTCAAAAACAAACTGTCAATGCCATGGCAAAAAACGAAAAACGACAAAAAGACAAACAACAGTATACCAAAAAAAAAACAATATAGAAAACTAAAGACTGAGCAACACGAACCCCACCAAAAGCCAGGGGTGATCTCAGGCAATCCAGAGTCATCAGATATTGCTCCACATGTGGCATCCGTCGTGTTGCTCATGTAAGTACAAATCCAGTGATAAGTCTAAGTCGGTAGGTCACATTCTAGGAAAAGAGGAAGGGATGTTGTTACAACAAATAGAGTTAGGCAAACTTGTGCGAACATGTATATAATTTTATTGCATAACTTTAGCATAGACTTTAAAAATTTAGATATATACAAAAAACGTAATTATATGTAAACAGAGTCTAAATAATATTCAAATTTCATTGTACGGAAGGCTTCGGTTAATAATAAATACCAGTTCAGTATACATATAATAGATAGAATATAATCTTAAAATGCAACAACAAAAATTAAAATAGAATATAATAATCAGTGAATACTTTGGAGAATACCATTTTTGGAGAATAGTATCATCCATCTGAAATCCTGAACATCTTATAAATTGTTCAACAACAACAAACATAGGATATTTTTTTGGTATTTCGAAATCTTGAAAGTCATATTACAAGCAATAGAAGGGTACGATAACGTCCCATATATGGCAAATATGTCTAACTTCAATTTCAAATAGGGTTTTTATAACCATTTTCACCATGTATCAAAGTTAAAACAATGAATAGATAGGAAAAATGTTTTTTTTCTTTAAATTCACGTATAGCGTTTTTTCCACTTAGTTCAATGAAAACCGGTCTATTTCCATTGGCTTTAGGACATAAAACAAAAATAGCATGAATCATAAAAAAGACATTTTAACATTATGCTTTTTTTTATAATAATTTACCTATCGACTTAAATATTTAGTTTGCCGAACACAGATGATGGTTACACCTTTCACCAAAATCTCTATTTTTGGTCTATTTTAATCAGAAAAGCGCCACAAAATCGTTCTATTTAACTATCTCACTTGTTTCTGCATCAACTTGAAACTTGAAAGATTCCTCATCTTGAATTAATGGACTGAATATACATGGCCAAATGGGAAAGTTACCGCACTAACTCCTTAAATATTATCAATCACAATCAGAACTATAGGAAATGCTTAACCTTCTAAAAGGAAAATCAATCAATAAAATATATATATATATATATATATGGTGTACAAATTTTTGCACCTCATGTTTGCGGTATACCATCTTTTCCGCAAGCTTATTGTTTTCTGTTTAGTAATAAATTAATAATAAGATCCATTTTTACATCTGGTGATCCGTTTATTTGGCAATCGCCAATGGCAGTCAGCAGGGTTTAAGAACATCAGTTGTTCGACCTGCTAGTCAAATGCGTTTTGTTAAAATATACTTTTTCACTTTTTTGGTCTTTTGGAAAATGTTGTTTGTGCTGTATTTAGACCCCTCTACCAAGAAATTTGTTTTGCATGCACACGTATAAAAATTGCGGTTTTTATCCAACGCAATCATAGGTTTGAACGTTGTTTTCAATTTAGACTTGTTTATATATATATATATACGGTATTTAAGGAAAATCTAATAACTAAGGTTGGAAAGTTCATGATAATTCTACTCCGAATACTTGGATTTCAACATCCAGGTTTTCAAGGAGAAGACAACTGAGGCTTGTTTTGATACAATCTGCCTAATATTGAGTGTTTTATAAATGCTTAACAGATCTAACGTAAGTTGTGTACTAGTACTGATTTTAACTGGCAATTCTCTGTTTTCATATAACCAATTATATACTTCATTACAGTTCTTCAAACCTGAAACGATATTACAAAACTTTGTATCAGTAAATTAAAATGTGTCAACAAATGAAACAAGATAATCTCTCTAAAATTGACATTTTAAGCAGGTGATTTCAAGGACTCTCAACTTTACAGTTACACAATTTTTTCACTCATTTACATGAAAATTACCACAATTATTAACACTTTGAACTATGAGCTACTGCTCATACCCCCGCTATAAGTATTCAGTAAACTACAATTTGAAAATAAATGAATGTGAAAACGGATTACACGGAATAACATGCTAAATATGAATGCTGATACCAAATTTATATGCAGATCTTGAAAAAAATGTGAGGGAAAATGTCATAGTCGACTCTTTATATGTAAAATATCTAAAGGTATTCGGTAAACAGGACACCACTGATGAGCACTAAATGTGAAAATGAATCACACTGTTACTGTTTAGTCTATTAACATCAAACCCGATAACAAATTTCAGGAAACTCTAATGTATATTTCAAGAGAAAAATTCGTAAGGGTTCCGCGGAACCCAGTGTCTCGCCTACTTTTGCTGTTAATCGCAGGCTCAACAAAAATGAGGAAAAAAATTAATAAAAATATTCCTTTCTATACCATCTTTTGATTGTAAGTAGCTTCTGTCAAAGTTTGGTACAAATCCAGGATAGTTTATGAATCTAATAAATGTTTTAAAAACTTAAACTGCAGACTGTATGTAATGTTAACTGGAAGAAAAACTAAGTCCATTTATAAGTAAAATACGGAAAAAATTGAACAAAATTTTAACAAAATTTCCTTCTAGATACTAGCTTTTAATCATAAACAAGCTTCTGTCCAAGTTTGGTACAAATCCAGGATAGTTAAAGAAAGTTGCTAAAATTTTAAAAACTTTAACCACAGAGTGAATGTAATGTTTCTTGGCAGAAAAACTAAGTCCATTTATAAGTAAAATACAGAACAAATGGAATTTTTTTTTTACAAAATTTACTTTTGAATATTATCTTATGATCATAAACAAGCTTCTGTCCAAGTTTGGTAGAAATCCAGGATAGTTTAAGAAAGTTATTAAAATTTCAAAAACTTTAACCACAGAGTGAATATTTGTGGACGCCGCCGACGACTACGACGACGACGACGACGCCGACGGAATGTAGGATCGCTATGTCTCGCTTTTTCGACAAAAGTCAAAGGCTCGACAAAAATGAGATCAAATTTCATACATGACCTTAATTTGTCAGAAAATATAAGTATTTGGTAAACAGGAATCTTTTTCTAGTTATGTATATAGTAACTGCTGCCTTCTGATAACGGTATGGTTTCAAACTGTTGCCCTTTTTGTGTTCTATGATATTGGTATAATAATTTTGTTTTGAGTTTTCGATGAGATATTTGACTTTGTTTCTCCAGAGTCTATAACTATACATATCTTTTTTCTTATGATAAATATCACGTTTTCTCATGCCTTCTGATAACGGTTGGGTTTCAAACTAAAAAAAAACCAATAAACCAACTTTGGGTTTTGGGATAGAGGTATTGAACCTCTTATCGTGTTTCATCTATTACAACAGCAACAAAGTCTGGCATTGGCAAGACATTAAATTTAACATTCTAGGAAAAATTCACCTCGTTCTTTAGCAGATACAGGTATTATAATATATTGATATTTGTCAAAGTGTATACGCTTTGTTGCGTTATAACAGGGGACTGCTGTGTCAGGAAGGATCTAACCTGCCAAGGACTAAATGATAAGTGGTTATGGCAAACTTTTGTAGGATTTATTCCGTATTTCGTAAAATCCAGAAAGAATTGTTTATTAACATGTTTAATACTGGGATTTTAATTTATCAAATTGAAGTTTAAACATTGTGCACATGTCCTTAGAATCTTTTCCTCTGACCAATCACAGTGTTTAGTATTAGAAAAATTCACATTATATAAACTTACATAAAGTTATTTTTAGCTACATAGATAATAAAAGGATTAAACTAATCACATGACTGTATAGATACTGAAAAACTTAGCTTTTAATGAGTTTTCTGCATTTATTTCAATCGTTCATCATCAATTTCTTCGTTTGTTGAAACGTTTCAAAATTTTCCTCAAAACGACGTGTTGTTTTTTTAAAGGGACGTTGCACCACTACTAACCGTGTATTAAAATAAACCACGCCTACTAACCCCATATGAATTATATACGGTCTCCACGCGGTAGCTTTTAACCAATGATATTCCAAGAAATGTGTAGGAGGTAAGATAAAAGTGCTTACACATTTGTTCAGCAGGGGCAGAAATCATGAAGACGTCAATAATGAAAGAAATATGTTTATAAGATTTTAACTTCATTTAATATGAAACCATAGCATCTTATGGTCACATCAATAACTTTCCAGAAACCCAATTTCTGTTGTCTTGTTTCTTCAAAGTATCACAAGATTTTCAACTTAGCCTTTTCAAGTTGTCGCAGAGACAACGCTTTAAGTATCACGTTACGCTACTTAAAGGTCTATAACTCATCAAGAATGAAAGCTAAAATCGTAAACTTTACCTTTTTTTAGTCACAGGAAACAACATATCTAAATTTTAAAATATTTCATCAAAGCGTTTTCAAGTGATTGCACGGACAACGCTCTCTATAAGTATCACTTTTCGCTACTTAAAGGTCTACAACTCATCAACTATAAAAGCTAAAATCGTGAAAATCGAACTTGACCTTCTTATATATTAGTCACAGGAACCAACATATCTAAATTTGAAAAGATCTCGTCAAAGCGTTTTCAAGTTGTTGCACGGACACTGTTTGTCAGCCGGCCGCCCGCCCGCCGTACATCACCAAATTAATAAGCGATATTTTCTTTTGGAAATTCGGTTAAAAATAAAATAAATTGATAAAAATCGTCATTTCAGGAATAACTCCTATAAGGAGTTGACTGACAATTACATCCAATTGATTTATTTGTAGATCTTGTCCAGTTGATCATTTTGCTTTTAAAGTTTCTATCAACCAACAATAAATGTCAAGATAAAAGACAAAAACGCAAAAACATTAATAAAAACCGTCATTTAAGGGCAATAATTTCATTAAGGAGTCCACAATGATAACCTTATTTGTAGATCTCGTCTTGCTGATCACTTTAGCTAAGTATAGTTTCTCTCTATATACTATATTTTTCAAAATAGATAAAAATGGGAAAATTATTCATTTATAAAGGCTATATATAACAAGTCGTCTGTTTTTATGTACTTGTAAAGTAGGTACATCTCAACATCTTCACATTTTCTCTATCTATAAAGGTTTTCAGGATAATAGACAAATCTTGCATTTTTATTCTATTTTTCCTCAAGGGAATCCGAAGTAATGCTATATGGCAATTTCTGGGTGTGCTTTTAAACACGTTTTACTACGTATAAATACACTGACGTTATAAGTAATGCAACTGAACTCGAAAAAGACGCTTAATCAACGAGTTTAATGTACCGGAATAACACACGACTGGAAATTGTTTTAAATGATAGAATAATATGTATATTTCAATTTTCGTTTTGGTCGTAAAAACTTTCTTTGGTCAAATTTTTATATTTTAGCCTCAATTTATGGTCATTTTAGAATTAAATAAATGAAGAATGTGTCTATGGGCCACAGATGCCCCCGCTTGCAGATATGCATGAGTCAACTTCCACATATAGATGCAGGATTCGCGTAGTTAAGACTGTTTTGTGATTAAAAGCATTGTGTATAAGTTTCATAACATTTGGCTGAGGCACACTAAAGTTTGAGAACGGAAACCAATTTTGGAGACGAACGGACGGGCGGGACGGACGGATGAGACAGAAGGGGGAAACACTTAATGCCCCCTCCGTTACGGCGGGGTCATAAAAAATAAATGTTTTATTCAATTCTTGGCTTTGTTCGTAATTGTGTTCGATGCACATATCAGCAAGGGTCATCGGAATGATGAAAACATAAGTAATAAACCAATCCGAATAAAATTTTAAAACTTAAAGTTGGCAGGTTTTTCGCTGGAAATTTAACGTAGTTTTTATGTCAATAAATACGTTACCATCATAAATTCTGAGTACATCCATCTGCGCAAGTCTGACAGGCGGACAACCTCAAATAAAAATATCATCCAATGAGAAGAGGGAAGACCAAGCAGTGCCCGTATAACCATGTCTTTATATCATCCATTTATTAATTTCCGCCTGCGCATCGAGACACACGTGTTGCAGAGAAAACTTTTAAGTTTTTTGTTTTTTCGATAGTGAATATTGTAGGTATCCCCATACCATTGTTTATTAATTATTATTTCATATTGTTGTTATAATATTGTATTTTATAAGTATTTAACTTCATACTTATTTAATTATGGAGTTTAATGCTTCCAGTCCTTTCGAGGCCATTACAGGTATGATGTTTTTTAGACGGTTCGTTACCCTTTACTGTTACCGCAACAACGGTAAGGCAGGGAACCCTCCTAATAGTAGTCAACTAACCGACGTTTTTTACTTCGGTGACTACTAAGACCGGTCAACATACCCTCAATGCAGGTTCTGTCGGTTATCATGGAGGGGTCCCTACCATTACCACTGTTACGCACACATTTTCTAGGCCAGTTGACACCACTGGGTCTATTTCATCCTACCCTGGTATTTCTATGGGTCTAAACTTACCTGGGTCTAGAGCACCAGCGTCATACTGTGGCTTCACTTTACCTGCTTCGGCTAGTAACGCCATGTCTTGGTCTAGACCTCCTTGGTCTCAGGGTTATCCTTATTCAGGCTTTCCTGGTCAGGGGTTTCCTGGTCAAGGGTTTCCTAATCAGGTTTTTCCTAGTCAGGTTCCTGGTCAGCCTTTCCCAGGTTTCTGGCCTTATTGTGGACCAATTACCACACCAGTTATTGTTCCTCAGAGTACTACATCTAATCTGTCAGTTCCTGCTCCTCCTTTAGCAGTGTCATATAGTAGTTGTAGTAGTGTATCTGTACCTGCTGCTCTGCCTACCTCTTCTGTTAGGC